ATCACCCCACCGGCCAGCTGGTTGTTGGGTTTCTGAGGTGTGCATGCACACTGGCCAGCTGGTTGTCGGGTTTCCGATGCTCTGGGGTGCGTGTACATGCCCACAGGTGGCCGTGTGCCTTCCGGTTTGGGCACTCTGTGCCTAAAAGTTTTGCCATCACTGATCTAGAGTATAAGGCTCCCATGTACAGGGCCTGGGTATCTGATAGGGTTCCTTCTCTTTTATGGATCTGCCAGATATTAAGATATAGTCGAGATACCTTCTTGAAGGTGTCATGTTTGCAAGGGATTTACTTTTACGACCAGCTAAGAAAAGCATTTTTCATCAACAACATCAAGATGGGATTTTGAAGGTTGGACACTAGAGCAGTGGTGTCCAAGTTTCCAGAGGAGGTGGCAGTGGCAAGGAGGAAGAGTGGATATACAAGTAACAAATCAGAAATGGTGATTTGGATAACTTTCTTAAAACAGATTTATTTATTTATTTATTTATTCATTCATTCATTCATTCATTCATTCATTCATTCATTCATTCATTTATTTATTTATTTATTTATTTATTTATTTATTTATTTTATATACCACCCTACTCCTGAAGGACTCAGGGTGGTGAACAGCCAAAAGATAAAATACACATGGTACAAATGTTAAAAAACCATTTAAAAATACATTAAATACTTTGGCCCAAAACAAATTTAAAACACCCCAATTTATAAAACAAATTTAAAAGCAATTAAAAGGGAAGTTAGGCCAGACCAGCCTGCTGGAATAAGAATGTTTTGAGGGCACGGCGGAAAGTGCGCAAATCCGGGATCCTCCGTACCTCCGAGGGGAGCTCGTTCCAGATGGCGGGTGCCCCCACAGAGAAGGCTCTCCCCCTGGGGGCCGCCAGTCAACATTGTTTGACCACCGGCACCCTGAGAAGACCCTCTCTATGGGAGCGTACAGGTCGATGAGAGGCTACTGGTGGCAGAAGGCGGTCTCGTAAGTACCCCAGTCCTAAGCCATGGAGCGCTCTAAAGGTGGTAACCAAAACCTTGAAGCGCACCCAGAAGACCACCGGGAGCCAGTGCAGCTTGCACAGGAGGGAAGTCACATGGGAGCGCCACGTCGCTCCCATAACCACCCGTGCGGCCGCATTCATTTACAAATGAGTCATAGTTTTGAAGGAGCTTTTGAGACAAGAAAATGAGAAAAATGAAAAGAAATCAAGGTCTGGGAAATCAAGAAATCAAGAAACTATTTAAAGGAGATTAAAGATTAAAAGTAAAGTTGACTTATTTGATCAAGGTTAAAACATATATGTTGTTGTTTCTGGTAACTCTTATTGGATTTTTGCTGAGCAAGATTGTATGATGATGCTTTAAGGATTTGTTTATAAATAAGCGATGAAATATGGAAAGAGGGGGTCTTCTGTTGTGTTTTCAGTGAAAGTGATAAGTTGCTTATTAAAAGTAAAGGAAAGGAATACAGAATTGGCTTATTTGATTAAGCTTAAAATATATACATCATTACTGGTAACACTTAATGGAGTTTTGCTGGCTAGGACCGAATGATGAGGATTTAAAAATTATTTATAGACAAGAATTGAGATATGAGAAGAAGAGATTTTTTTTCTTTTTTTGCAGTATAAAAGAGGGTGATAAGTTATTGAAATTGTACTTGTCATGATGGAGGAATCTTTTTATCTTTCATTCATTCATTCATTCTTTCTTTTTCAAAAAAAATCTTTGCACTTGTTCTTTTTTCTTTTTGTTCTTTCATATTTTTCTTAGTTTGCATAAGCTTTTCATCTTTATATCTCTAAACTTTAATAAAATATTTTTTTCTAATTGAAAATCTAGTTTATATTATATCAACAATGTCCAGAATAAGCATTATATTTTGTTCACTGATAAGCTTTTCTCCTATAGTACCATTAGTTCTGCGCCTGTCCCATGGACGAGAGGCATTTTTAAAATAGTTAATGAATTAATAAGAGGAATAAGAACTTTCAAAAACTATGTTTTGGGAATTTATTTCAATAATTGATGAGCTATGTTCAGGTAGCTAAGATGAATTTCTTGATTGCAGCAGATCCCTGAGGAAGAAATCTCTGCTATATAACTTACTGCAGAATATAAAATATTTGTATTTCTTCAACCTTTTTCTTTGTTGCCTTACTAACCTGAGCAAACAAAGCTCCGCGAGCCATTGTGTCAATTTTTTAAAAAATATTATATTCCTACATTTACCTATTCTGCCTGTTATCATTCCCTTCTGTTTGCTTCACTTTTATCCCCTCTTGGTTATACATTTTGGTCCCCAAACTTGCCTATAAAATCAGGCAAATAGCTGGCAGTCCTTTTCAAATGCATATCCCCTTTGCAGTTCTGTAATATGTACAATAATCCATCTCTTGATGGTTATTTTTTTTTCCAACAGAGAATGCCAGTTCTTTCCACCATAATTTTAGATTAATAGTTCTAAAAGTATGTTTATTTGGTTCCATGTGTGTCATTAGGCAAATACAGATAGCATGGATGTTTTTTTTTTTTTTTTTAAGAGAAATGTTAAGCATCAACATCAGATGGATTGATGCTATCGTAGAAAGAAGGGCAATTTTTTTTACTACTGGTTTGGGCGAATAGGTAGTAAAAAATGCTTTAAATTTTTTTAAAAAAAGGTTCCGATGATCGTGCGGAACCTTTTTTAAAAAACTTTTTAAAGCATTTTTTTTACTACTGGTTCGCCCAAACTGGTAGTTTTTATCACTACTGGTTCTCCCAAACTGGAGTGAACTGGTAGCATTTCACCTCTGGTTGAGGATAATTACATTACGATCATTATCATTTTGTTGCATTGGTATGGTCATGTGTGGTGTGGCTGAGATTTTCTGTCATATTTTTTTCCTGGGATGTAATGGAGGAAGTGGAAGGGGGATATTTCTTTATTTTTAAACTTTGTTGCCCTCTTAGAGCTCTCATCACAGTTTGTATATTTCCTGTCTCAAAATGGTAAAATACTATCCATTACTTTTCAGCTGCCAAAATTGGCAGCACTCTGGGATCACAAAAAATAGTTTGGGGCAGCAGACTCTTGTGTTAAATAGGCCTTTCCCATAATAGGTGTCTTCCAAACGTGTAGCCTTCAACTCCCAGAAATCTCACCAAGGCCATGATGGCCGGGAAACCCTGGATGTTGAAATCTACCCATTTAGAACATGCCTACGTTGTATCTGCTAGTAATATTAGTCAGGAGAAAGTTTCATCTTCAAGGATCTCTCTCTACTTACATCCAGAGGGCAGGACAAGAAACAATGAATGGAAACTAATCAAAGAGAGACATAACCTGGAATTAAAGAGAAAATTCCTAACAATCAACCCATGGAACAGAAGTTGCCTTCAGAAGTTGTGGATGCTTCATCACTGGAGGTTTTTAAGAAGAGAATGGACAGCCATTTGTCTGGAATGATATAGGGCAGGGGTGTCAAACTCACATCATCCCATCGTCATCACATGATGTGTCTGGACTTTTTTCCCCTTTGCCAAACCAGGGGTGACACATCCAGCCCAAGGGCCATGAGTTTGACACCCCTGATATAGGGCCTCCTGCTTGAACAGGGGGTTGGCCTAGAAGACCTCCAAGGTCCCTTCCAACTCTTCTCTTCTCTTCTCTTCTCTTCTCTTCTCTTCTCTTCTCTTCTCATCAATAGCTTTTAGGAGAAACCATCATTTCTTTTTGTTGTTGTGGCTTCTGGGCCTCTCACAGTCAAGAAAGTATTAATGAAGACCCACAAGGCCTAAAAAGGCATTTATACTGCATGTCAACATAATATCCTTTTTTTCATGAAAGTACCATATTTTTCGGAGTATAAGATGCACGGGACTATAAGACACACCTACCTTTTTTGGTGAGGAAAACAAGAAAAAGAAATCTGCCTCTGCCTCCCAGCAATTTTACCTAATTGCAGCAAACAGCAAATAGCCTACTTTACTTTCATTTTCGTTTTCAGCATAGCTTGATTAGCACAAGAAAAAAAAAATCTGCTTGTAGCAATTTACCTCCTTGCAGCAAGCAGCAAAGGCTAGTGCAAAACAGCTGAGAGCAAAACAGCTGAGAGTCAGGTGGCCGATCCAATCAACTTGTGCTAATTAGGCTGTGCTGAAGCTAAAACGAGCTGTTTCTTCTTGCTGCTTGCTGCAAGGAGGTAAATTGCTGGGAGGCAGAGGCCAAAGGGTGGGGGCCAGTGGGTGGGCAGGGCTACATTCGCTGTATAAGATGCATCTAAATTTTCACGCCCTTTTAGAGGGGGAAAGGTGTGTCTTATACTCCGAAAAATATGGTAATCATCATGATTACTTTCATGAAAAAACCCTCATTTTTTTTCCACTCCAGTTTTAGAGTTTAGAGCAAACTATATTTTCTATACATTAAGTCATTCTTTTACCTCACCGCAGCAGTTACGGCAGAAGGCTTCGCCCCTCAGCAGTTCAGTAGAATTTGTATCCCATTAATATTCAATATTCCTTTCAGTCCGTAAAAGGATTCTGTCAACATTTTTAGCACTTGGAAGCATCTAAGATGGAAAAAAAAAAAAAAGCCAAGTGTTGATAAGTCTGATTCTATCTGTAAAGTTTTTTGCTCCGGATTTTCCAGAGAGCAAACAAATTGTTCTTAGTGAAACAAAGAGATGGCCCCTGCTTCTACCACACCATTGTGTCGCCTGTTATTTGGCTTTCCATAACCATTCCAAAGCTTAACATTTTCAACAAGAGTCTTATTTAGGTAGACATTTTTCCATGTTATGTTTTGTATACAGAAAAGAATTGGCTTGCAGAGGCAGGTACTTTCATGTTGCTTCAGTAACCTGGATTCTACTTCATTTTGCTTCCTGCCTGAGGCATGGGAAGTCTTTCAATAGACACGTCACCAAAGGATTTTGTGCTGATGAGACGCTGGCTTTGAGCCACTAGGAACAACTTCTTTTTTAAAAAAGCAATAATGCCTTGGTAAGGCCACACTTGGAATATTATATCTAGTTTTGGTCACCATGATGTAAAAGAGTTGTTGAGACTCTTGAAAGAGTGCAGAGAAGAGCAACAAAGATTATTAGGGGACTGGAGGCTATGAAGAACATATGAAGAACGGTTGCAGAAATTGGGTATGTCTACTTTAATGACAAGAAGGATTAGGGGTGACATGATAGAAGTGTTCCAATATTTGAGGGGTTGCCACAAAGAAGAATGGGTCAATCTATTCGCCAAACCCCCTGGAGGCAGGAATGGATGAAAACTAATCAAGGAGGGAAGCAACCTACAACTAAGGAGGAATTTCCTGACAGTGAGAACAACTAATCAGTGGAATGACTTGCCTCCAAAAGTTTTTGATAATCCAACCTTGGGGATCTTTAAGAAGAGATTGGAAACAATTTTTCTGAAATGATATAGGATTTGCTGCTCAAGCAGGGGGTTGGATTAGAAGACCTCCAAGGCAGGGGTGGGTTCTAAATTTTTTACTACCGGTTCTGTGGGCGTGGCTTATTTTGTGGGTGTGGCTTAGAGGTCATGTGACTAGGTGGGCATGGCTAGCTGGTCAGAGTCATTTCTGGAAGGTCCTCGCACTTACAACCAGTCCTCGCACTTACGACCCGACTCATTTGTTTGCTTTTAACACTGATCAGCTGTAGAATGGCCCTTTGAAGCCCCGCGGCAAGAGTTTAAACAGTTTTTTTCCCTCTAGTCATCAGCTGGGACTCAGGAAGCAGCAATAGATTGGGGGTGGGACCAAATAAAAAGTAAGAATAACATGGGGGGGTGGGAGGGGGGAGAACCAGTTCGGTGACATCATATGGTCACCGCTACTGGCTCGGCCGAACCGGACCGAACCGGGAGGAACCCACCACTGCTCCAAGGTCCCTTCCAACTCTCTTATTCTGTTATTCTGTTAAGGTTGCTATTGCATCCCATCTATGGAGTTATAGGCAAGCTCTTGTTCATACTATGCATGGATGGTTCTACCAAGATGGAGGAGTAGTGAATGAAAATCCAATACTGCCAAGGCACCATCCTAGTTTAAAGAAGCTGCTGTTAGCTTACTTGCTTTTTTGGTCAGGTTTCCTCAGGACAGATCTCTACATGTGTTTAAGTTTGCTCCTGTCCTCTGTTCATGGCATCTGAAGTCTGAGCTGGTTTAAGAAAAACTCTGAACTGAGATGGTTGGTTACATTGTGAAAAGATTCAGTCCAGACTACAGGCTATTACCCTGCTTCCCCCAAAATAAGATATCCCCAGATAATAAGCCCAATTGGGCTTTTGAGCGCATGGCAATAAGGCCAAGCACTTATTTCAGGGTTCAAAAAAATATAAGCCTTATTTTCGGAGAAACACGGTATGTTTTTCCAATTGGGAATTTCCCTATTGCTGTACCCTTCCCACTTTTTCTTCAGTGACCATTCCTTCTTGTGGGCAGCTCTTTCTGGACATACCTTAGATACTTTTACATGTAATAAATCTACGTAGAGTTAAATTTATATTTACAAAATTAAAGCGTCAACATGCATGTATAGATAGGCATTTTTTGAAAATCCTTTCTTGCCAGCCTTTTTGCACTCTTAATATTTTCTAAATCATCTTTTTGTCATCTTTTTGTCATAATATGTTGATTGTCAAAATCCAGTAGTTCTCTTTTTATTACTGTTTTCTTCAGCTAGCCGGTGGAAGGCTTTTTTACATATGAAAAAAAATGCACATTTATACAAAGAGCCATGATGGTGCAGTGGTTAGAATGCAGTTCTGCAGGCTAATTCACTGCTCATTCCAGGAGTTCAATCCTGACTGGCTCAAGGTTGGTAAAATGAGGACCCAGATTGTTAGGGGCAATATGCTGACTCAGTAAGCCACTTAGAGAGGACTGTAAAGCGCTGTGAAGTGGTATATAAGTCTAAATGCTATTGCTATACTTATTTGTCTAGGAAAAGCTGAGAAAAAGGCAATAGTAATTAAAAACGATTTTTTTGTTTTTAGTAATTTGACACCCAGCAGAAGAAGAAACCAACCAACCAATCAACTTTTCTGCTGCTCTTCCATACGAGGTAAAGCCCTCAGACACTCTGTTATCGTTAATCCTGATAATAAAGGGAAGCTCTTAGAGGCTCTTAAAAATCAAGGCAAAGCACTGCCTTAGTTAGTATGTATGTATGTATGTATTTCTCTTTAGCCAGGTTCTTCCTATGTAAACCAAGATTTTTATGCAGCCCTAATTCAGTGAAATCACAATCCACTAGTTTCTAGGCTTTTTTTCTATATATATTTTTCTTATATATATTTTGTCTCATTTGTGTGATGCAGCAACTAGGGAACGCAGGGGAGCCTTCAATTTGGACAGGATTTTGTTTTAATCCTTTGCTAATCCTTGTAGCCAAGATAATAGAAACACAAAATGGGCAGTTTAAGGGCACAGTGTTTATATGGCCTGAGGACTTTAGCTTAACTGTGGTTTGAATTAAGAACTATATCTCATCCTGTTTTCTCAGGATATACTTTGTCGATTGTGAATTGTACAGACATGGGCGCAAGTAGTTTTGTGGCTGTTCACTAGGATAGCTTCAAAGTGGCTGTGCAGGTAGACTTACGACCACCAATTGAGCCCAAAATGTATGTTGCTAAGTGAGAAATTTGATAAGTGAGTTTTGCCCCATTTTACGACTTTTCTTGCCACATTTGTTAAGCAAATCACTGCAGTTGTTAAGTTAGTAACATGGTTGTTAAGTGAATCTCTCAGAAGGATGCAAAAAGGGGATCACATGACCCTGGGTCACTGCAACTGTCATAAACGTGAACCAGTTGTCAAGCATCCGAATGTAAATCACATGATCATGGGGATGCTGCAACAGTCATAAGTGTGAAACATGGTCATAAGTCACTTTTTTCAGTGCCGTTGTAACTTCAAACGGTCACTAAACAAACTGTTGTCAATCGAAGACTACCTGTATTGGATTAGCCACTCTAAGGGCCTAGGAACTAAAGTGAAAATCCCCCTGCTATTGCTTGTAAGTCTCTATTGGAACACATCCGAATTTTTGAGTTTGGAACCTGCTTTGGATTACCATATCTTTACAACACTCCTCAAAATTTGGCATCACAACAGATTTGAAGCAACAGGCTTCAGATTTGCCCGGGCATGCCTAAAAACTAGAATGGAAAGGACTGTATATTTGTGATGTTTTCTATTCTCTTTATAATTTATTTGCTGTTTGACCATTTTAAAGGCGTGATAATGCTTACTCCCATATTGGAATTGTAATAAAAGAGGAAGGGGAAGTATTATTCAGCTGATCAAATGGCAGATCAGAAACACAAGGGGTTTGCAAGAGATCTGAATCTGTAAAGATCTACTGCTCTCTTGGCAGTCCTGTGCTGCACCAAAGATCAGTTCAAACTAAAGGAAAAACAGCCGTTCTTCACCAGCTGTTTGTGGTGTGTTTCAAGGTCTGACATCGCTGGATGCATTATAGCAAGTGTGTCAAACTCGCGCCATCACAACGGCATCATGTGACGTATCGGGCCTTTTTTTCCTTTAGCTAAACTGGGTGGGGGATGGGGCCAGCACGTGACGCATATGACCCGCGGGCCATGGGCCGCGAGTTTGACACCCCTGCATTATAGGTTTTCTGCTGGTTCTGCCAACCAGGAGTTTCACATGGCTTTTTAAAAAATATTCGGATAATGGGCAACATAACTCTGCCTCCCTTATACAGCTCTGAGAGTTATCATCAGTTATTATCTTGATGAAGTCTATTGTTATTACAGGCAGACCAGAGGTGCTATTCAGCAGGTTCTGATAGATTCTGGAGAACCGGTAGCGAAAATTTTGAGTAGTTCGGAGAACTGGCAAATACCACCTCTGGCTGGCCCCAGAGTGGGGTGGGAATGGAGATTTTGCAATATCCTTCTCCTGGAGTGGGGAGGGAATGGAGATTTTCAGTATCCTTCCCCTGCCACACCCACCAAGTCACACCCACCAAGTCACACCACACCCACTAAGCCACGCCCACAGAACCGGTAATAAAAATATTTGAATTCCACCACTGAGGCAGACTAATAAGAATTGTATTTTCTCCATGGCTATCCATTGACTACTTCCAGCAAGTCATAAATGCGCTCCTTGGACACTCTAATAACTACTCTTCACTTGCTGCACTAGCTGAGAATGGAGCTCAGGGGTAGTTGTTACCTTCTACTTTACCTGATGCCTCTCCAGGCTCAATACCTGTCAGCCAAGCTCCTTTTTAACATGGGGTTAGCAAAATAAATAACCTAACTAATGGGTCATAAAAAACGGAAGATGAGTTGTGCCAAGCAGGACTGTCAGAGCTGCTTCCTCCTACATAGCCCCATGTCCTCAACCTGTTCATTGGGCCATGTTACAGGAAGCTAAATCCACCGCTCTAAGTGCTTATCTACGTTTGCCCAAATCACCCTGTTTTACGTTAGGAAGAGTAATTGGTACTTGCTTTCCTGCCAATAGATGGGAGGGAAAACGAAGTCAGGAAAATCCATTAATCCCTTTCCTTAACGTGGTTCACAGTAGATATAGAGAGACAGCACCCTTCATCAACCCTGCTATTGTGGGAGAACAGGGATTGGTAATGAAGGCAGCACAATTTATTCCATTTGTCTGCCAGCTCAGGGAGGGAGGGAGGGAGGGAGGGAGGGAGGGAGGGAGGGAGGAAGGAAGGAAGGAAGGAAGGAAGGAAGGAAGGAAGGAAGGAAGGAAGGAAGGAAGGATAGTATTTTAATAGATCTATTTGAAAGAGCTTTCGGTGCATCTTTATTTGGTCAAGAAACAAAACAAGATAATAAAAAGCAAATTACATCTGCATTGTTGATAGTTCATATATTTCATGACCATGATTTTTATAAGGTTAATCAAATAAAAGTCAAATAATTATTAAGGTAAGTACTATTTTTATGAATCTCTATGGTTCATAAGTGGTTTTTATGGTTCAAAGTCTTCATAGACAATACTTTAATATAATCATAATCATAAGTTTATTTGTCAAGCATATATAAGATAACAGCTAAAAGTATAAACATAATTTCAATACATGAAAAGAGTAAGTAAAAAGGAATATTAGGATAGGGATGGTAGGCACGCTGGTGCACTTATGCATGCCCCTTACAGACCTCTTCGGAATGGGGTGAGGTCAACAGTAGACAGTTTAAGGTTAAAGTTTTGGGGGCTTGGGGAAGAAACTACAGAGTCAGGTAATGGATTCCAGGCATTGACCACTCTGTTACTGAAGTCATATTTTCTGCAATCAAGTTTGGAACAGTTTACCTTGAGTTTGTATCTATTATTTGCTCTTGTATTGTTGCGGTTGAAGCTGAAGTAGCCATTGACAGGAAGTACATTGTGGCAGATAATTTTATGTACTATGCTTAGGTCAGACTGAAGTTGACGTAGTTCTAAGTTGTCTAAGCCCAAAATTTGAAGTCTGGTGGCATAAGGTATTCTATTGCGAGCAGGTATTTTATTGCGGTTAGAGGAATGGAGGACTCTTCTTGTAAAGTATCTCTGGACTCTCTCGATTGTGTTTATGTCCAAAATGCAGTGCAGGTTCCAGACAGATGAACTGTATTCAAGAATTGGTCTAGCAAATGTTTTGTATGCTCTAATAGTATAACATTACCAAAGAAGAAGCTACGCAAAATTAGGTTAACAACTAAAAAAAAACCCCAAATCCTGGCTATTATCCTGATATGGATCTATAAATCTTGACTGAAGTTAATCATTTATTAAGATTTCACTAAATTCAGGACCACCTAATAATGAAACTACCAAAAATCTCTAAATTCACATTCTTCTGATCTTAAGGGCACCTTACATCCCTCCCCCCACTATTTTTAAGGAAGAGTTGAAGGATTTTTCAGTCTTCTTTCACCACATCTTTTTCTTCAAGAACTTGTTCCTTCTGTCTGTCTTTCTTTCCATTGACAAACTCTTGCATCCTCAGTGGATCTGCATTTTCCCCATACGTATTAATGTTCTCTCTGAAGCACCATCCAGTCAGGTAGAAGAGCAGGAAAATCCAAGACCTCCTGCCATTTTGGGTGTACAGTACAGATGTACATGGACAATGATCTGCTCAGAATAGCTCACTGTGATACTATTTCTTCATCCTTTTGATTTTCATTGTATTCTGCTCTAACTCTTTGTTTCTCTCTAATCTTCAGCCTCTTAAAGTGTCCATCTCCTATACCCTGTCCATAATTGATTTCTCAGTTCAGAATTCAATGGTGGGCTCTCGTGAACTTCCAAAGGCTGCAACTTCGCTTAGCAGATAGAATATTTATAAATATTCGAGCTTTTATTATTCACAAGGTTTTTCACAACAGACACTTGCCAAAAGAGATCCTTTGATACACTATATACTTTCCACTTAACTGAGCTGCCTTACTGAATGTGACATAAATTACAATATGAAAAGTTAAATAGGTTGATAGCCAAGGAAAATATTAGTCTATGTTTTTTTATGTTTGTTTTAACTCAGCAGGGATTCCTTGATGAAATTGCAAAGTTTGTAATTAGTCTGATTACAAACTAATTTGTTTGATAATTCTTTGACTTTTAAAAGACTGGCAAGTTTGGTCAATTTTATATTCATTGATATGTAGAGATATCAATGCTACCTTTGATATTTAGTACACTTTTTGAAATCGTAACTCCCAAGACTTCAGTAGTAGATTATTTAAATAAACTTAATAATAGTAATAATAACAGCAGTAATGCATTCTACTAAGATTAGAATATGCAGGGAATAAAACTAATACTTTTTTTTTTTTACAATGCGTGGATTAAGGATCCATTGATTTATCTAACTGTTAGTATATGGTACATTTATAAAGGCAAAAACTTTCTTGTTTGACAAAGTTTTATGCCAGGCATTGCTGGTAATATTAACTCTGTTGATCCAGTTGTATATTTTTGTGATTTTTATGAACCTAAATTGAAAATAACACACATTGATTCCAATAAATTTCACACAGAATAAAGTACAGGTAGTCCTTAATTTACAACTGCAATTGAGCC